GTTATCAGGGTGTTTTGTTCAGCTCCGGCCTTGCAGCTGGCGCCGAAGGGGTATCCGCATAAGTGATGTTATTTTTTACTTCAGTGCGAACAGCTCATATGAATTTCTACAGTCCAACACTGGTCTCTCAATCTCCCGTTGGAGAGTAGCGAGCTTCGCCATACTTGACTTCTTTGATGTTGTCATTTCTTGTGCTCAAGGAGCTGACTTCTGAGAACTCACCGCAGTTTTCCTCCCCGAGATGTCATCCAATTCTGCGCCCAGAGATGTTATTCCGGGCTAGCCCTTCCGAGATGTATCCAGTCTGCAGTCAAAGATCTTATTCTGAGTATTCACAGCAGCCGTAGCCTCTCCAAGATCTTATCTGTGCTGACTCAATGAGCCTATTTTGAGAAACTCACACCTCTCCCATCATTCCAATCCCAGCGGGCAGCCTTGTGGGGGTTTGAACAGCCGGTTCCGCTTTCTTAATTCTTCGATAAGTCAGGGCCAAGCCAGCTCTGATCAGCCAGAACCCTGTTACCATGGTTCCGAACAGATATCTTCAGCACTCAGGCTCACCCGAGCCCAAACTTCTCATTGAGAAAGGGGTGTCTATTGCATTTAGGGACCAGTTGATCCAATCCATAATTCCTCTTTTAGGTTTTAGAGAACAGACTGTGAGAAAATGTTCCAGGGAAAAATACAAAAAAAAAAAACACAAGACTAGACAAAGACATAAGCAGGGAAGATAAGGGAGAGGAGAAAAAGTGCGTCCGCCTCCTCCGAGAGCCAAAGAAGAGAGTCATGTCCTGTGGAGGTGGCTCTTCTGTGTTGTGCCATGCGCTTGTGAATTGGCTGTTTGGTCTCTCCAATGTAGAGGTCTGGGCATTCCTCGCTGCACTGTACAGCATACCCCTACATTGTTGAGTTTGTGTATAGGAGTTTTGTCTTTCAGGTGAACCAATTTTGGTCTGAGTGTGTTGTTGGGTCTGAAATGCACCGGGATGTCATGCTTGGAGAAAACTCTCCTGATTTTAAATAGGGGATGACAATGTTGTTGCGTCTGTCCTTCTTATCCTCCCTTGCTGGTGTCTGATCTTCTTTTCTGTGCCTCTTTGCTGACATTATGAACGTCTAGTTAGGATAACCGCATGTTTTGAGTGCTTCCTTTAAAGTCTCAGCCACCCTCTCCAGTGCCAAAGTCCCTCCGTCCAACCTCACAATACAA